CTCAGGCAGCATGTCACCCGTATTTGCACTTGCACCCGCTGTGCCACCTCAGGTTGGAGCTTTTATTCCCATGGCTTAAGCATGGCACTTCACCGGCCAATGCTCTTAGGGAAGAGCAGGGCCAAATAGCTTGCAGGTCCTGCTAAGCTGAGATCATCTGGGAGATTTGCAATGCGCATTTTAGATTTGAATGAAAAGCAAACTGGTCTAACCCAGCCTGGCAGGCATACAAGGTGACACTCGGTCTCCTCTCCTGGCACTGGGAGAAGGACCGTTGGATTTACATGCAAATGCAAACTGATTTTGGCTTCCTGATAAAAATCAACATACCTATTAAAGTGCTGCAAACATGAGGGATCATTACTGGGTGCTGACTTGAAGCACTATAAGAAGATTTTTGCTTTGTCTTTGTGTGCTCATCGCTAGATTAGAACAGTGACATTAACAATTAATGATTTCTCTAGAAGTCCCCATATGTTTGAGCTCCTGAGGCTATATGGCTGGGACAACAGGCCGTGTGAGAAGCAGGCCGCGGAGGAGCCGGCGGTAATGAAACCACAGCAATCCCTTTCAGCCACCTCTCCCCAGGGGGAATCCTCTTACAGCACTTCCCCTGAACTCTAAAGGCCATTCTCTATGGAAAGGTAACATGGTTATCTGCCCATCAATGGAGCACAATGGGTCGATTTTAGAAGCTGAATGGCTGGATGAGTGGAAACTGGTAAAAGACAAAGACGGGAGATTTAACTAGGCGATGTCAAAGGAAGACTGACTTTCAATTGAATATTTCAATTTGCTACTCCCCCATAACATGAGGCCACCAGAAAGGGCATGCAGACTTCCGCTGTTCTTAAAGCCTATGTTTAGATTAATTTAACACCTGTCCTCCTTGATGCATATACACGCAGCCTACAGTGAAAGGGTTGCTAAAACGGATTAATGATGCCTGTGGAGGCTATCCAAACATAGAACTCCACTTGTCTGATAGCGCCAGCACTAAAACAGAGGCAGAGGATGCCTTAATAAGGGTGAGGCGTCTGCACAACGTCTGTTCACACTCCAGTTTAGGAAGTCTGTCTTTTAGCCAGATAAGGATCACAGGCCATTATTGCCCACACCTCTCTATCATCTCTACAGATAAGGCTGATGAGGGTACCCATCAGTGGAATCATTCAGCGTGTGCGGACTCAGACACAATGCTGTTATTTTTCCAAACACACACTTGGTCAAAGACAAAAGCACATTCAGCACATGTTTGCCACCTCTCTGACAAGCTAATTGCCTCCTTGACACTTGGGTGCTATCTGAGAGGCAGCAACACACACCTTCGCTACTACTCTCATGTTTCCATCCACATGACATCAGACAAACGTGTGTATGACGTGGGGAGGAGCACATGCTCAACCTACATCTGACCATTCATATCCGACTTATGGTTACGGGTCACGTTCACGCACATCTGCGAATGTAGCTTCATACAGATTACTGATAAGCTAATAGAGCCAGGTCGTGTATAGATGTGTGCCAGACGGGGCTGTTAGGTCTGAAAGGGGTGTGAGACAGATGTGGGCCACTAGATCAGCAGCTTTAATGATGACACCTTGCTTAAAATAAACCTATCACTAAAACTGACATGCCTAATCCATGTCTACATACAAGGCTTTGAAATCTGATGAGCCAGTATTTAAGTATAGAGAATGCTGGAAGATATCCAGTGTGTGCTGTATTGAACTGTACAGTCTGAACTTGTTTAAGAACGGAAGAAGGGCCACTTAGTGAGCCAGTAGTTGTGCAGGTTTGCATGTTTGGGATGCCTTGTTAAAACTTGGCAGTCTTACTACCAGTAACTACACAGTGGACGAGTGGGGAGGAAAAAACTCTTAAGTGTGTTTGGTAAATGAGAAACTATTCGGCTGAGTTGGGGCTAAACATTCCCGCAACGGTGCCAGGCGTTCTCAGCTGAAGAATGTGGATTCAAGACTATATTTGGAAAATGACTAGCATCATATGACTTCAAATTTTGACCAAGTGTACATGTGTATGTGGGTCACTGTATAAATATGACTGAATGAACTCTAACCATAATTTAATTCTCAGTGTCACGTAAACACAAAATGTGATTAACATACTAGTTTTAAAAACACACTGCTGTGACATCAACACTGTCATTAAAAGAGTGCATATTTCCCCCAGGGTAAGCAGTCCCACACATGACATATGGAATACCTATCACACGACACCACACGTCCAGCTGGAAGATCAGAGCTTGTGGTGAAGGAAATGTGCTGCGGGGCATCTCCAGTCCCCAAACAGAAAACAACAGTGTTTAAAATGAAAGAACCTAACGTCCTTTCACTGGCAATAAACATCCACTAACCACTGCTTGATCTCCTTGAACAATGCATGTGATTAACAACAGCTTCAACACACAAACCAGTCCCTGTCCCACCGAGGAAAACAACCTGAGGCAGAGCAGAGCAAATGTCTTCATGCAGCAGAGTCTCTGAGTTTAATTTGACTTCTTTCACACAGGCGTGACAAGTCTGGAAACACCCGTGTTTGCGATTGGTGTTAGCAGGTCAACAGGAGGCCATGACCCTGCTCTCATCATGGGTTTTACGAAGGTGTGATGCTGCTTGCCTTAGGTATAAAGGGCTTAAACAAGTTGTGCAGTCAAACAACATTACAATGTTGTGGCTGTGTACTGTGTTGCGGTCAGTGAGGACAAGAGAAGCTCTTTTCGTTTCCATGAACACTGCTGGCAACTTCTGGCCCTCTCTTAGCCACATACTTTACTGTGCTTGGACGCTAAGATGTTGAACACAGAGAGGAGAGCTAGATGGTACTTAAACTTTTCAGATGTCTATCAAACTTTAGGACAAATTACCTTTTGTAAATTCTATGTTAAATTTTCTGTTAATCTTAAAAACATTGATTGAGGCTTGTCAGACCAATCAGTAGGGCTGCAACTAATGATTACTGTCATTGGTGATCACTTTCTCAAGTAACTGATCAGTTGTTTGTCCTATAAAATGTCAGAAAATGGTGACAAAACGTTGATCAGTGCCCAAGATGACATCCTCAAATGTCTTGTTTTGTCAGCCACCCAAAGAAAAGAAACCAGAAAAAAAGCTGAAGAACATTTTGAATTTTTTTCTTTCAAAATTATCACTCATACAGATTAATCAATTATTACATTAGCTGGCCATTATTTAATAGATGACAACTAATTGATTAAACCATTAATCCAATCGTTGAAGCTCTACCAATCAGTGATCTGTGGAGCGGTTTAAACGATGACAGCAAGCAGTGCTGTATTTAAGATTTTAGTTAAGAGCTTTATTTGTTTTGTGGCTCCCACTGCTTAAGGGTAGATCCAATTTCTTGCAGAGTAATTGTAGTCTACACCCACTGACAACGCCTCTAACCAAAGCAAATGGCTATTTAGCCTTGCAAGACCACAATGAGAAAAGTTAAATTTCAGGGATGACTCTGCACGGCTGCATCATCTGCGTCGTTCTATCTCAAGTGGACAAACAACACTACAGTGACCACTTTTGATAAAGTTTACAGCTTTGTTTAACAATGAGAGACTAATCTAATATTAACCCATCACTTGGTAAAATAAAAATCAGCCCTAGCTGTGATCAACACCCCATGTTCGTGATTGTGAATGGTCTGTTGTCATTTCACTTAGTTCACATCTACCATGTTGCAAATCCACTGGTTAAGACCCACAGACACAACTGCTGAGTCAGATTTGCAGGAGACTGACAGCAATGGAGCCTGACTGACAGCAATGGGGCCTGTGTAGACAACTAATCCTCCATCCATGCGTGCCGGGCCGGGCTCTTTTCACTGGACACACTGACAGTAACCCCTCCACAATCCCCTTTAGCTCCCAACTATAGATGAGCACTGGCAGGCATGTCTCAATCAGCAGATACTGCGCTACAACACTGCCATAGCCCCAAATAATAATAAAAGAGCCCGAGACATTTATTATGAGATTAACAGGGAAATCACCTATAATTTGCTTTGGGTAGTGTCCAAAAACAGTGAGAGTAAAGCAAAGACAAGCAGCTGGACATACAAACACACACACTTCACAATGAATGTGTATGGAACAATAGCACTCTGACTATTTCCGTCCATACTTCACATACCATTTGGTGTCCCTCACCAGACATACCAATGCCGTGATTGAATCCAGCATCAAAGCATGCTGATGTCATTACCATAGCAAGTATTTCCCTCAGCGCCTGGAACAGGTATGTTATTTTTATGGTGTGTCAGAGGCTAAAAAGCACTAAAACAGAGGTCTGGTAGCGAAGTGACAAGCAGTTTTAATCATGTTGACTTCCTCAGAGGGAGCATGTTTATGACACCAGGGCAGTGATTTGAAACATGACGTCATCATTAAATGCTTACACATCAGTATTACACAATTAATAACAACAGGTACAATTAAGTGAGTGACTGTGTTTGGTGTCACTGCTCATTAAACTGGTTTCAGATGAGAGACCCTGAAGCTCAGGTCTTAAGTTTTACTGACAACAGGATTTCTGTCATATAAGGTTATAGAAACATTTAGAAACCAGTGTTTTTGTGACTGACTCAAACATTTATTTACCTACAATGTTGCTGAAGTCAGCCTGTGACTGTCACTCGGAGCAGTAAGGTGACACAACACAGTTCAGGCATTTCAGCAGCATTTTATCAGCGGAATTAAAAGATTATATCTAACATAATTGAAATAGCTCAACTTGCTTACATGTAAGTGAGAGTAAAACAAAATGCAGTCCCATTGTTGGGAGCTTCGGTGGAGGTATGTTGTCACACAGGAGCAGTTTCTACGAAACTAGCTCCAGATAACCAAGGACTGACTCAGAGTTGAGACACAGCAGCTTTTAAATAGCAGTAATGTTGAAAATATGGTATTATTTCTGTCAAAAATATATGTTTAATTTGAGGTCACACACGAAGTACCCCAGACTCACCTTTCATCCAGTCGACAACTTGCTTCGGCGTCCACTTCGTTATCGGCTCCATGGCTCCTTGAACACAATTTACAGTGACAAAAATGTGCCAAAGTTTGGCAACGAGGTTCAACAATATAAGTTAAAAAAAAGTGCTGTCACATTCTCCGCAACAGGTCGGTGCTGTTCGTCTGTTTGTGTTCACCCACTAAACAACTCTGTACACGCGTGAGTGGAGGCTGGACTGAAATCCCCCACTGCTCCTCACTGCCCGGTCTGGGATATGTGCTGCGTTCAGGTGCTGCCGGGAATGCAGGGGAAATTACAACTTCGGCACGATCAGGCAAGCCCTAGAAAATGCTTGACACATATGAACTGGAAATACCTATTGTTTTATTAATATTTTATTCAAGTAATTACGTATATATATATTTTTAAATTGTACATGCTTATTGAAACTAATTCTCTAATAATTTCCATGGTGCATCTTCCCTGTTTTGTCAACATAACTCTATATGTTATTAAATATATTTATTGTGATTATTACTATAACCTTTATTTAAACTGAGAGCAAGGTCTCCTTTACAAGGCTGACCTGATTGCAGTACATATAAAACCATAAAAGCACAAAATGACAGTATGCATTAGCAAATAATAAAACAGTACAAGAATACGAAAGCTACACACAACTCATTTCTTTACAGCCAATTTTAGACTTTTTCCCCCTTATGAAAACTGCTTCAACACCCAACAATCTATGGTATTTCCCACTTTAGTCCACGGAAGTAGGAGTTTACGGCGAGCACATGAACGTAGCGCATGCTGTTGGTAGTTTCTGTGTGTTCACCGCCCTCATTTGAAACTGGAGGCGTGTACAAAACATACAATGTGCTGCCCAGTTTGTATTTCGTTGCTCCTGAAGAAAAAAAATATGCAAGAATACATATTATGCTGTAAGTATACAGGATAAGCTGATTCAAATGGCACTGTCCGCACAGTTAAATTGCAAAGCATGATTTTGATCTTATTTGTCTTAATTCATAGGTAATAGCACACTTGCAATTCCTCTCTGACATGACATTAACTCATTAGTGTGATAATAGCTTTTTTTCAGTCATATGTAAACTGATCAAGATATATGTCAGTAAAACATTAGAAGCAACAGGGACTTTGTCTTTAAACTAAACTGAATGTGACTCACTGCTGCTCTCTGCTGGTAATGTTTGCATGTAGAAGCAGGCTGCACTACTAGCAGATTTCTGTGTTTTTACTGAAAAGAAAACCATTACAAACCTTTTTGACTGTGATATATGACCATAAACCATCATGTTATTTACTTACTCTGCTGAAATGATAATATGTGTAATATGATGTAGACCAGCAATAGTGAGAACAACTGTACAGGTTTATTGTGGGGCAACATCCAGCTGTTACACCAAAGATTAGAAGGCACATCAGGTAGAGTATTAGGGAATATCAAAATTAAAAAAGGACCACCAAAGTTGAAAGAGTTAGGGGTTCTTTTGATGTATTGCTATTATACACATCATAAGTGTTGGAGCTCGTTTGGTTATGTAAAGTTTTCAATTAGATTTACCATTATGGTTTGTGACACTGAGTAACCTTTCCTGGCTTATTGTTTCATTAACAATCTAAAACACACCTTGCATGAGAGACTCCCAGCTTTTCCCATCACCCCATTACTATACAGCTGGAAGCTGTTGCACATTCTGCACTGTAATCAGCTGCAGATTAAAGCTCGGCTGTTATTAAACCTGGGCACAGATCACTTTGCTGACAGGCAAAAAATACTGGAAGCCCCAATACTGTGCTATACAACTATTTGTTCTGCTTCTCTTCTTTTTCTGTTCCAACATGCTGGTTTCTTTGCTGGTGGACTGAGCCAAGATATATTATAAATAAAAGTCTTGTCTTTAGATTAAAGTTAATTAAGGACATTTCTTCACTGTAGCTTAACCGAATAATGTGGTAATGACTGACGGGTGGAATGTCGGTGGTAAGCTTTCAAAGAAAACCTAACAGGAAAGTAGTGAAAATGAGCTTGATTAGCCCACAGAACAAAAATAAGTAAAGGTATCTCTATAAAACACTGCAGGTAACTTAAGTTTTACCACCAGAGCAAACATTAAAACACACAGTTTTCTCAACTTTTTTGGAGAGTGTGTGGAAAATACAACCCATTTGACTCTTAGGTGACTAATGCCCCTTGAAGCATTTACTTTTAATCTCCTCCAAGACAAGATATACTGTACAGTATGTTTGTGTACGTTGTTGCCAGGCATTACAAACATTTCTGACTGCGGCAAACGGGAGTTAGAGTCATGTTCAGTTCTCATGGGAGTGGGCTGGATTGAAGGGGATCTGGGTGGTGTGGAATTCAGGGGAGGTCCTCCCTGATAGGATTAAGTGAATCATGGGATTGCTGTGAAGGTGAGGTGGAGGAATGAAAGTGGTGCTCGGTCTGTTGAGGAGGAGAGGGCCCAAGCTTTAAGGCTGAGATAGAGGGAAAACAACCTGAGTATCAGATAGAAAACTGGAAGAGCGGTATTGGCTATTGTTGTCGCTTTAGGCTAGAGTTACAGATAAAGTTAACACTTCCTCATACAAAAGGTCACCTTAGATAATCTCAACGACCGAGCATCGGTGCAACTTCTTTATACACAGCTCCTAACAGTAAAACAAAGACTCACAAAGATAAGCAAATGCTGCGTGATATTGTTTGTATTCTGAATCAACATTTATTCCAGCTTCAAAATACAGGAAGTCCAGTTTTGGCACTGTATATTATTCTGGGATCTACATAAAGGTCGGGCTAATAATTTCGTATCAACAAAGGCAGGCACATGAAACATCAGCACAGGAAGTTATCCACGTCACAATCTAAGATGACAGGATATAAACAGATTGTTGATATAATACAAATAAACCCACTTCCTGCCCCTTACAGGTTTGCTCTGAACACATGTACTGTAGGAGAGGAAATGTCACACACAGTACCTTGTAGCTAAAACACACAGTTTGACACAATTTCATGTGTCACCAGATACCCTGCCCCATGTGTGTGGCCATATATATTTATATATTTATCACACAGCATAACAACATCAGAGATCCTGCATGTTATCTGTTATGACTATAAGCAAGGGCGTATAATTAATTTCAACATGGGGGGGAGACACATATATGAAATGCAGGATTTGGGCGACAGACACTTGATTTCCTGCATTCTGGTGATTTTCTTTGCAGCAATTTGTGCTGTAAATGTCTTTAATTTTGTCAAAAGAAATCCCCCACCCCCAAATCAACACCTGTGACTACAAGCACATGTTTTCAGGCCACAGCTGTGCAAAAACAACTCATAATGAAACTATCACCACCTTTGGGCTCGCAACACATTCATGTATTTTAATGTTGCAAGGTGGAGTCTGTAATATAAAAGGTGTCATAGCACTGCTCTTTCTCCATCTCTTCAGGGCACCAGATCCTAGACATTAGCATTGACACGAAGATGCACCCTCACTGTGTAAAGAAGGGCTTTCAGCTGATATAAAGAGAGCAGTGTAGTAACAGACACACAGAGGATCCTGTGTGCTGATCTTGTTGCTGGGGACTTGAAGGGAAGATGAAGCTTATAAACCACTATACGTTCAGACAAAGACTTTAATGTAGATGACATTGACATGTTCTCTATGTAAAATGTTTTCTGCAGCTGGCTCCCATCTAATATGCAGAACTGAATCCTTGATCTTAGGGTCAAATAATGCATATTGTTGGGGTTTGAACAGCATTAAATGGAATGTATCCCTCTGTATAAAATAACAGCTGAATATCTTTACTACAGTGAACATTAAAAGAATAAAAGTTGTCGAAGTGGTATGCTAGTTTAACTTATGGGGCATTTTGTGGGGTTGAAGGGACAGTAGGTCTGGCGTTAAGGTACTCCAGAACAAAAATCTGCAGGATCTTGTTGAGGTTCTGGATGGTGGAGCGATCCAGGTTCTGCTCATTGTCATCAAACGTGTGCCACACGGATGGAAAGGGGGAGGGTATAAGGTGGAGGACGCGTACACCTGACAGAGAAGCACAGGGTGAGGATGACCAAAAAGAGCTACACGTCATATATATCATATTTGCTGCAGATGTGCTACTTTGTGTGTTTACCTCTGTTTAGAAATGGTACATGATCATCTATTATGTGGCCAACAGGGATATTGGGCCAAAAATATTGCACGCTGTTAGGATGATCCACCAGCTGGTTCATGGAGTGTAAACGCCTCTCTGAGGATATAAGATTGGAAACAGAGTAAAAAAAAGTGCAGTTCAGATTAAAGAAACAACAAACATCTTTATTACTTATTAATTACTATGGATTTGCTTGACCCATTTTGATCGACAGCTTTGGAAACATAAGCAAACACACCCTACAACTGTCATCACATTTTGATTCAAATGTTGGTAAATCCTGATTGGTGCACAGAACTGTCTGACATCACCTTTTTCAAACAAAGCCCCACCCACTTCAAAAAAAGTGGGTGAAGTAAGGCTAAAAACATCTGACATAAATTGGTCATGTTAAATAACCAAAGCTATCCTAACATTGTCAGACAATATATTTTAATGTGGCACCCTGTCGCACCTTAAAAAGCTGACTCAAAAATGAGCAATTTAAGATAAAAAGAATCCACAATGCAATCATAACTGCACGACAGTTGCAAAGAAGTACAAGAAACGATGTGACAGATGGCAACAAATTGACTGCACAGTTGCAACATTGGCCTCTGTGAGGATTTACTGGTTCTAAAGGTTCAGTCAGGAAGACTTTGCATGCTTAGGCCTTTTAAATCTCATACCATGAGTTCCTCTGCTGTTCATTCCTCGCTCGACTGCATATTCACAATGTCTTGCTGTCATTGTTTGGGCTACATCAGCTGATCTCAAACAACCCAGTCAACTGATGGAGCAGCTGATAGATCACATGATTCCTTTCTATGCAACCAATTGGCGAATCTGGCCTGCCTACTGTTGCTGCTTTCTCTGCAAGCCGCTGTGCAACCCACCTCCACCCCAGCTCCTCCTTTTCATGCTGTGTCTGACTTGTCAGTGTCATTTCTGTTTGTCACTGATGCTGCTCTGTTCTGTTCCCAGGGGGGTCTTTGCTGCTGCTCTCCCTGCCTTATGCTTTCCATGCAGGCGCATGGAAGGGCAGGGAGGTGTGCTCTCTCCGC